GCTAAAAGCAGATGTACATGTAATAGAGATTTCACTGTGTTATTGGTGGGATTCCAAAGCGATGTCGCTGGGACATTGATCAACATCAAAACATGGGCGACGTCACGCATGAATCATTCAAGAATACTTCTTTCTACTACTAGGCAGACCACACGTAGCTATGAATCTACTCGAAAAGGTTACAGATCTCGATCAGGCCGTAACCAGGTTATTTTAAGGCAGCGCCCACCAGGGCACAGCATTGGTTGGGGATTCCCCATGGGGGGAGGGCGTATTTGGCCGCCCCAGGAGCGTATTTGGCCGCCCCAGGAGAGGGGGGTCGTATTTGGCCGCCAGGAGAGGGGGGGGGGTCGTAGTGAGTGCGGCAGCCAGTAACGAGCAGCGCAAATTGTCAATGTGCTGAGTCCTGTACAGCGAAACTTGCTTTGTAGAGAACTCGGATATGCAAAAAAATAGTACAAAACTTTCATTCATCAAACTAATCCGAAATAACTGCAAATATTAATAAGTCGACATTATCTCGTAAGTCCGTTGGTGACTAAAGTACAACTCAAACTCTGGTTCGCTGCCAATGATATGGCGTGTCCGCGGTCGCGCTTGGCGCTGAGCCAACCTGTTTTTTCGACAAGCGACAGGACTACCATATCGTTCGTATAGACGTTTTCCAGCAGTTGGTCTCCTTTATCGGAGTCAGCAATTGGCGGAGCACGAATCTGGCAGCGTCGACAGGGACATGTTATTAGGTTGTCCGGAAAGTTCTCAGCGTTTTGGGTGTTTCACTTTAAACGATCGTAACTTTTTTAATACTCATCGGATTTAATCGAAATAGGCACCATTCGAATCAGCACACTTTTGCCAATGTGACAGCAGTCGAGAAATCCCATCAAAGTAAAAAACTGGGTGGTCGAAAATTCACGAAATCCACTAAGGCTTTTTTGCCTGGTCCTGATTGATGAAGTATTTTCCAGCAAGGGAGTTCTGAAAATGTTAGAAAAGGTGATAGTCGGTTGGCGAAAGGTCTGAAGAATATGGCGGTTGAGGTAGAACTTCAACCCCCAATTCGTTCAATTTATGGATAGTGATTTGTGAAACGTGTGGGCGGGCGTTGTCATGCAAAGGAATCGGACCCTTTCTTTTGATAAGTGTTGGCTGCATCTGACAAAATTTTCGGTACAATTCGTCGATTTCTTCACAGTAGGGTTCTGCTGTGATGGTTTGGCCTGGTGATAAAAAGTTATAGTGGATCACACCAGCCGATGACCACCAAGCCGTGACCAGAATCTTTTTTTCGTGAGGGTTCGGCTTTGAAAATTACCTCGGTGGTTCGTCGAAATCCAACCACTGTCCGGAACGTCTCCTGTTATCATACATGACCCATTTTTCATCACAGGTGACAATTCGGCCCAAAACAGGTCGTTTCTGCTGCGCAAAAGCAATGCAGAAGGAACCTCGAGACGTGCCGATTCCTGCCGGTCACTCCGATTGTGGGGCACCCAATTGTCGAGTTTTTTCACCTTCCCAATGCGTTCCAGACCATCTGCAACAGTGGATTTGCCAACCTCTATCAGAGGTGACAATTCGGCCCAAAACAGGTCGTTTCTGCTGCGCAAAAGCAATGCAGAAGGAACCTCGAGACGTGCCGATTCCTGCCGGTCACTCCGATTGTGGGGCACCCAATTGTCGAGTTTTTTCACCTTCCCAATGCGTTCCAGACCATCTGCAACAGTGGATTTGCCAAGGCCTAGCTCTTCTGCTATCTCTCGAACTGTTTGGGATGGGTCAGCCTCCAAAATCCCCTAAAATCCTCGTCAGATATTGCTTTAGGTCGACCGCTATGAGGTTCATCTTCAAGGCTGAAATCTCCAGAACGAAATTTGTTGAGCCATTGCCGCACAGTGCTTTCTCTAGCACTATTGGGCCCCCACACCTGGTTAATTTGTTGAGCTGTTTCGATTGCGGATTGCCCCAATTTATAGTCGAAGAAAAAAATCGTCCGAAGTGCTCTTTTCACATGCTTGAAAAAATCTTGAAAAAAGGGGGTTTATCAAGCAAATGGTGAAACGGCAATTATACCATCAGATAGCGCAAGAAATTCTCTACAGGATGTGCTACTGAGAAGCAAGGCAGAATGAGTTTTTAATCAGCAGTGAATGTACAAAAATAGGTGCACAAAACGCTTTCCGGACAACCTAATACATCATCGCAACGGAAAACACTGTAAACAAGTGCACAGGCTCGCCATGGACCTCCCTGAACCCTATAGACACATTTGCTCGCGTGGACAGACATTACGCACAAGTTGCACCATCCCATCACCTCTGCGCGGACCTCAGTGCGCGGCGCATCCAAAGTCAGCGTGATCGGCGCTAAACGAACCATATCCTGCTCCTGCTCCACCACAGGATACGTTCTACATGCGTTCCTGGCTATTCGAACACGCTCACTTGAAACGGTACACAGGAAACGGGTTTTTCGCGCAGCTGGGAGTGTTCCTCAAGAAATCCCCATAGCGAGATCTCATGAATCCCGAGAGCTTCAGAAACAGTTCAAGAGGTTTTTAGAAAGAGAAAATCTTCAAACACTCGAAACCGTTCTCAGATTTGTGAAATGTTGAGTATCACCTGTCACCTGTATCACCTGTGCTCCCGTTGATCATCGAGTTCCTCGAGCGGGCGCCAGTAACGTCTCCATTCGTCCCTGCAACGTGCAAGAGTTGCCCAATGAACTCTCTCAGCTCGAGGGACACGATGAACTTCATACCATTCGTTCAGAGCTTTCACGAAGAAGTCTGACCATCGCATAGGCGGTTCCAGGCGTTCGCTTGACATCCCGTGGAATCCAGTCGGTGACTGCTCTGGTCCAGCGGTCGTCCTCGAAACGCATGACGTGTCCGGCCCACCTGATCTTCGAAGCCTTGGCAAATGCGGCGGCGTCTCTGATCTTCGATCGTTGGCGGAGTGCGGAGCTCCGGATTCCCTCTCTCACTTGCGTGTAGCGGGAAACTCCGAGCATCGCCCTTTCGATGGCGCGTTGAATAACGCCGACCGCATGCTCATCCTGCTTTCGTAGAGTCCAAGTCTCTGAGGCGTACGTCAAGGCAGGAAGGACCGCGGAATCGAAGAGGTGGGCACGGAGCTTGGTGTTCTTCGTCTTCTTCGCTACTCCCTCGATGTTCTTGAAGGCTCCCCAAGCCGCTCGCTTCCTCCTGCTCAGCTCTGGAGCTAGGTCATTCATCATATTGATTTCACGACCTAGGTACACATAGCTAGAGCATTCAGAGATGGTCGTTCCGTTGAGCGTGAATGGGGCATCAGATACCAATCCGTTTCTCATGAACATCGTCTTCGTTAGGTTCAGC